GTGACAACGCCTGTAAGCCTCGGGAGGTAGAGGCAGACGGATCAGGAGTCCCAAGTCATCCTTGACTACATGAGGAGTCGCAAAGCAGCCTGGGACACCTGAGACCCTGTCTTAAAAAGGCGGTGGGTGGGTGGGGGCTGGAGAGATGGTTCAGCAGTTAAGAGCACTTGTTTTTACAGAGGACCCAGGCTCGATTCCCAGCATTCACTTGGCAGCTTACAGCCATCCGTAGCTATAGTTCCACGGGGCTTCCATGCCCTCTTCTGACCTCCCCAGGCACCAGGCACGCAGGCAAGCAAACACTCACACACATAAAATAAATATCTGGAAGGGGAAAAAATAGATAAAACTGGAGACATACGGAGAAGGAGACACGTTGGGGTCGGGGGAGGGATGAAGGAGAAGGAGAGAGAAAATGAAGACAGAGACAGAGGCCCATAGAGAGAGAGAAGCAGGTATAGAGAGAAGAGGAACACTGGAGGGAATGAAGTGAGAAAAGACCTGAAGACAGGGATGCTGACAGAGACACTCCCAGAAACAAATCAGCCCCAGCCTCTTACAGGGCCCCTACCTTACCCCCCACGTCTGGGCTCCCTGCCAGGCAGGAAAACTGGATCCAACCGGCAAGGGAGGGGCAGGAAGGGGGACCACATTCCCGAACAGTCTGTCCTCAAGAACTGACCACGGCCCCACCCAGGGGCTGCTGCCGGCCCGTGTTGCTCAAGTGAGGGGGATAACGAGGAGACATGTGCTATCTTGGCCTTGCCTCAGATAGGGTTTCTCCTGAGGGTTCTGTGAGGCTGGACACCAGGTGACTTGGGACCTTGGCAAGGCATGAAAGCCAGAGCCTGGAGGCAGAGGTGGCCCAAGTTCTGGGGCAAGTGTAAGCCAAGCTGCGTAGGAGAAGGCCCCCGGAGCTACAAGGCTGGTGGCACCAGGAGCCTAGGGATCAGCAGCGAGCATCAGGGGGACAAGTACAGGAACAGACAGCATGCAGGCTTCCAGGAGCAATGCGAAGAGCCAGACATAGTGGGGTACAGACACCTTTAATGCCAGCACTGCAGAGGCTGAGGCAGGAGGATCATGAATTTGAGACCAGTCTGGACTATATGATGAGACCCAATCTTTTGCAAGGGGAAGTGGAGGAGGAGGAACGGGGCAAGGTGGTTAAGACCACTGACTGCTCTTCCAGAGGACCCCAACCTCTGGGTGTTCAATTCCCAACACCAGCATAGCAGCTCACACTCATGTGTGACTCCAGTTCCAGGGAATCCGAGGCCCTCCTCTGGCCTCCCTGAGCACCTGGAACACATCTTGTATATAGACATGTAGGTAGACAAAAACCCATACGCATAAAAAAGAAGTTATTCATAAAAAAAAGACAAAAATCAACAGTAGTGATAAAGTCCCAGGTGTGAGTTTCTAGGGCCCACGGGCCCAGAGCACAGGCGTAGCAGGCCGG